GATATAAGATCTAGGAAAGACTAGGGCTGAATATGTAAATTTTGGAGTTATCTGTATGTATAAAAATGATAATTAGACCCGTGGGAACTGGTGAGATCATATAATAAGAAAGTTTAGAAAGAGAAGACAATCCAAGACAGCCTTATGGAATGCTTTTGGTTGGGAGTGGTACTGGATGATGATTCAATAAAGGATATAGAGAAAAACGTATCAGACTGGGAGGAGGACAACTAAGAGTGCACCATCATCAGATCAATGTAGAGAAGCGATGGAACAGTCAATAGTATCAAAACCTGAAAAGAGGACGAGAACTGAGAAAAGAACCATGTTGGATTTAGCGGTTAAGAGGTTGTTAGCTCTTTGTAAGATCCACCCCCCCATTAGACTGTAAGCTCCTTAAGGGCAGGGCTTGTCTTTTGACTTTTTGTATCACTAGTGTTTAGCACAGTGCTTAGCACATAGCGCTTAATAAATGTTTAGTGAATAAATGAATGAATTCTAAGGTGATGGCTTTTCTTCAGTCCCACATTAACCAGGCAAATGATGCTTTTGCAGGAATATGTGCTGAGAAAGAACCTGTCATATGTTTCCTTTCTTTTGGGCTTCACACTAGAGAGGAATAGTTGCCAGTTGGCTCTAGATTTCAATAGACATTTGCTACTCTCCCTTCTCAAAGGATTTTACAGCTCCTCATTTTACTTCTTATATTGTCCTTTTGAGGTTCTTTTGCAAATGAAAAAAAATCACTATGCTGAATAGTTAAACAGTTTTTCCCTGAGGTAGAATGACTCAATCAGAATCAGAATCAGAAGACTAGTCTCTGACCTTGAGCCTTCTACAACAATTAGAACTCACATTTCAAGGTTTATAAAGGACTTTCCTCAGGAAGACCATGAGAGGTAAGTAATTCAATATAAGGATTTATTTTTTTAGACAAGCATACTAAATTCAAAAAGGCAGCATGGAATAGTAGAAAAAATGCTAAACTTAGAACACTTAACTTGGAGGAATGGTACCTAAATGTGAATAGCAGCTCTTCCATTTCATACTTAAGCGATTCTCCGCAAGTCCCTTAACCTCCCTAAGCCTCAATTTCTCGATCTTAAAAGTGAAGAGGTATTAGAAGGATTATAATATGGAAGAAGAATTATCCTTGAATAGTTTACCTGTCAGATTTATGGAGAACAGAAGAATTCATGACCAAACAGGAGACAGAGAACATTATTAAATGCAAAATGGATAATTTTGATTACATTAAATTGAAAATTTTTGCACAAACAAAGCCAAAGCAACCAAGATTAAGAGGGAACTAGAAAACTGGGAAAGAATTTTTACAACCAGTGTCTCTGATAAGGGCCTCATTTCTAAAATATATAGAGAATTAAGTCAAATTTATAAGAATACAAGTCATTCCCCAATTGATAAATGGTCAAAGGATATGAACAGGCAGTTCTCAGAGGAAGAAATAAAAGTCATCTATAGTCATATGAAAAAATGCTCTAAATCACTATTGATTTGAGAAATGCAAATCAAAACAACTCTGAGGTACCACATCACACCTATCAGATTGGCCAATATGATAAAACAGGAAAATGATAAATGTTGGAGAAGATGTGGGAAAATTGGAATACTAATGCATTGTTGGTGTAGTGAAATGATTCAACCATTTTGGAAAGCAATTTGGAACTATGCCCAAAGGGCCATAAAAATGTGCATACCCTTTGATACAGCAATAGCACTTCTTGGGCTATATCCCAAAGAGATCATAAAAATGGGAAAAGGACCCACATGTACAAAAATATTTATAACAGCTCTTTCTGTGGTGGCAAAGAATTAGAAATTGAGGGAATGCCCATCAATTGGGGAATAACTGAACAAGTGGTGGTTTACGAGTGTAGTGGAATACTATTGTGCTATAAGAAATGATGAGCAGGTGAACTTCAGAAGAACCTGGAGAGACTTGTATGGACTGATGGTGAATGAAGTGAGCAGAACCAGGAGAACTTGTACGATGACTAACTTTGATAGACTTAGCCCTTCTCAGCAATGCAAGAATCTGAGACATCTCCAAAAGTCTCATGATGGAAAATGCTATCCATATCCAAAGAAAGAACTATGGAATCTGAATGCAGATGGAAGCATACTATTTGCTCTTTTTTTTTTTTACTTCTGTCTTCTTTTATGTCCTCTTTCTTGTGGTTCCTTCTCTTGGTTCTAATTCTTCCTTACAACATGACTAATGTGAAAATATGTTTAATAGGAATGTATATGTATAGCTTATATCAGATTGCACCTTGTCTTGGGGAAGGAGGGGGAAGGGTGGGGGAGAAAAATTCAAAACTCAAAAGTTTATGGAAGCGATTGTTGATAAATCAAAATAAATTAATAAAAAAAATCTGAAGAATTATCCTTGTTGTGCTTGACCCCAGAAGGAAGAACTAGTAGCAACTGGCAGAATTTGCAAAGAGGCAAACAGGTTTGATCTAAGTAAAACTTTTTTAACAATTAGAACTGAGCAAAAAATGAATGGGTCATGTGGGGGGAGATTATGAACACTTGTTAGACATGTTGTGGAAGGGATTCTTATTTGTGTGAGCTGGACTAGATGGGCATTGATGGTCTTTCAATTCTGAAATTCTACTAAATCAGTTTATATATTATATATATGTAAATATATATATATATATAACAACTGTAATATATTCCTGACATTTAGTGGTTAGGTCAGAAATTCTTTAGTTAAAATCTGATCACTTATGTTATGTTGATAATGGGAATGGTATTGATAGGTAGAAGTGTCAAAGAAAATGTGAAAAAAATATAAGCACATATTGAACACCAATTATATGCTAAGCACTTTAGAAATTAATATTTGCATTAATAATTATATTAATTGTATTCATATTGACAATCATATTAATCAAACGTATTAACATTTGATCCAATAACCTTGGAAAGTAGATGCTACTATTTTCCCCAATTAACAGATCAGGAAACTGAGGAAGACAGAAGTTAAAGGTCATATAGATAGTATATGCCCAAGGTCATATAGATAGTAAATATCTGAAGCCAGATTTGAGCTCTGGTATTCCTGACTCCAGGTCCTAGGCTCTATCCACTGGCCACCAAGCTGCCTCAGAATGCAGGAGCTATAAAGAAAGCTGGAAATCATATAGTGGAACCTCCACACTTAAGAGGTGAGATAATTGAGGTCTAGAAAAGGGAAACAGAAGTTACCCAATGAGTTAGTAACAGAGCTATGATATGAATCCAGGTTTCTTTTTTCCTAGTCCAGTATTATTTCCATTGAGTCATACTATCTCTTCCTATTGCCTTTTTTAAAATACATTTTTATTGATATTCTTTTTTTAACATCACCAAAAATTTCCCTAGTAATCTTCCTTCTTCTCTTCCTCCTCCTTCTTCCAAAGATCCATCCTATTTAACCAACAATATTTTTGGCATAATCATAAATAGGGTTGCTTTAAGGCCACAATATTCCCACAAGTTCTCTTCCATCTCCTGTTTGTCACCTCCTTCCCTAATTTCAGAGTTTTGCTTAACTTATTGGTTCCTTTTGTTTCTTCATTTATCTAGTTATCTAATTCTTCCCCCTTTTTTTCTCTCAGTTAAGTGGTCAAGTAAAATAAGTCTTTTCTCTTTTTTAAACTTACTTTGCTTGTTACTATTTTTAGTTGTGTTTTTGGGGGGGTTTTGGGGTTTTTTTTAGGGAATTAGGGTTAAGTGACTTGCCTAGGGTCACACAGCTAGTAAGTGTCAAGTGTTTGGTCTGAGGCCACATTTGAACTCAGGTCCTCCTGACTTCAGGGACAGTGCTCTATCCATTGTGTCACCTAGCTGCCCCCTTTAGTTCTTTTTTCTAAAAGCATTTCTTTTCCTGGTTCTCTCCATTATTTTTCTTCCATTTCTATTATTCTAGACATCTATTCTTTTATTCATGGCCCCAATACTCATTGAATCCTTTAGTCTCTGTATTCTTCATAGAATTAAAGCTTCTAAAGGGCTTATTTTGGGTTCCTTCTTTTATACAAGCTCTGTGCTAGTGCCTTGTAGATTCTTGTCCCCTAGCCCCCTTCTTCTATTGCACCTTACCCTTAGAAATATCAATTCCTGCAAGATATAGAAAGAAAAAAAGCATTGTCCCTTATTGCCCAGTCTATTACTACTTCATTGTCATCTCCATAACAATTTTCCCCCATTTGCCATGAAATCTCCTCTCTGGGTCCCTGCCTTCCTTGTCTTCTGAGCATCAGTTTTCCCAGGATCCTTGATTTCTCCCTTTCCTGAAACAAGATACTATCCATGGAGGCAAAGACTGTTCTTAGAGATCTCCCTAAGTACTCAAACCCTGAAGATTATACCCATTGTAAGATCACAATTTTGGCTGGTAGGGGAGAAGTGCTGAGTGGATACATTAGGGATTTAGTTTTCTCTGTTGACCAGGTGGTTACCTTCTTTGGGTTTTTGCATCTTAGAACATGGAGACAGCTGAAATTGATTTGTATCTTGTACATAATTCCTATTTTAGAGAAGTTTAGCACTTCATGCTTAGCGCAGCACATGGCACATAGTAGGCACTTAATATATCTTTACTGGTTGATCAGAGTTTGAGAGGTTGTGACAAAGTTTCAAGTCCTTGCTGACACAGAGTTTTCCTACTGTCTTTTAAAGTAGCTTTAACAACCTGTGGAGATTACAGAAATTAGAAGCTAGCAATTAGGAAAGAGGAAATCAGTGGGTTTTGTTCTAAACTTTTGAGTGAGGCTTCCCCTTGTGTCCTCCTTAAGGGGCCTAGGAAATAATGTTTTAGTTCGTATGAAGTAGTATCTAATTTATATTCAAATACAGCATGAGGTTGTCTCCATATTTACAGGTTGTAAAGTTTTCAGAAATATTTTAGCTCTTCAGATAAAAAGCAACTTAATACAAAGGTGGGAATGTGCTATGAGAAACATACAACTTGCACATTCTGAGCATGGATGCAGAGAAACAGAGCTGGATTCTTTGAGGACTCATCCACAAAGTAAGGGAAATAGGGTAGGGGGGAAATGACCTATGGACTATCTCGTATATTCATTCTTTCCCACCCCTAACTGACACTCTCAACCAAACCTCAATTTTAGGTGTTGTGAAAGGGATAATGGGGAAATTTGCCCAAGGAGGGATATTCTATCACATCTCTAAAAAAAACCAAAACAACAACAACAAAAACAACAAAACACTTATACATGGGATATTTAGGCTAGGTACAAACTAAAAAATCCCATGATGCCTTAAAACCTTTTTTTTTTTAATTGCAAACATTTTCAACAGTATTTGCTGCCTCCCAGGAATCCAAAAGTCATTGAGAAAATAATTAATTGACTTCATCTCATTTTAATACAGGTTGGAAAATAGTAACTTTAAAAACATGCATCGCAGACACACGACCCTCCGGGAGAAGGGAAGGAGACAGGCTATCCGAGGCCCAGCCTACATGTTTAATGAGAAGGGGACAAGTTTGACCATGGAGGAAGAACGCTTTTTGGACTCTGCTGAGTATGGTAACATTCCAGTGGTCAGGAAGATGCTTGAGGAATCCAAAACACTAAACTTTAACTGTGTTGACTATATGGGACAAAATGCCCTGCAGCTAGCAGTGGGAAATGAGCACCTAGAAGTCACAGAACTGTTGCTGAAAAAGGAAAATCTGGCCAGAGTTGGTGATGCACTCTTGTTGGCCATCAGCAAAGGCTATGTGCGGATTGTTGAGGCAATACTGAACCACCCAGCCTTTGCCCAGGGGCAGCGACTGACCCTCAGTCCCCTGGAACAGGAGCTACGGGATGATGATTTTTATGCCTATGACGAAGATGGAACCCGCTTCTCTCATGACATCACCCCCATCATTCTGGCTGCCCACTGCCAGGAGTATGAAATTGTACACATCCTCCTTCTTAAAGGGGCCCGTATAGAAAGGCCCCATGACTATTTCTGCAAGTGTAACGAATGTGCTGAAAAGCAGAGAAAAGACTCCTTCAGCCACTCAAGATCCAGAATGAATGCATATAAAGGATTAGCCAGCGCTGCCTACTTATCTCTGTCCAGTGAAGATCCTGTCCACACTGCCTTAGAGCTAAGCAATGAGTTAGCCAGACTGGCCAACATTGAGACCGAATTTAAGGTAATCCTATAAAACTCTATCATTTCTGTCCAATTGTCTGAAGGTTCTTTTCCAGGTGTATCCAGTATTCAAAGGAGCTGCCTATAGTGCAGAAACTCAGTTGAACATGGCATTGTGGCTGAACAGCTAAAGAAGGTCAAATGATTTCTTTTTACTTGTCTGAAAAGTATACTGAACAGTCAGAAAGTCTCCACAACAAAGCCAATCAAACCTGACAAGTTTCTGTCTCATGTGTCAGAGAGACAATGTGGCAGAGTTGTTTTCCACACATATAACCTCGTTCGAGGTTCCAGAGAGAATACAGGAATGCATTCTTGCCTGCACAAAGCTTCCATTATAGTTGTAAAGATAAACTTGATCAACAAGGATTAAGTGCCTTCTATGTGCCAGGCAAAACTAAAATAATCCCTGTCCTAAAGGAAATTACCTAAAGTAGTAAAGGTATAGCACTTTGAGGTTTTCAAAGTTCTTTACATATATTATCTCATTTTATCTACACAATAAACCTGGAAGGTAAATGCTATTATCATCCCATTTTGTAGTTGAGGATACTGAGGCAGGTAACAGTTAAGTGACTTTCCCAAGGATCACACAACTAGTGAGTGTCTGAGGTTAGATTTGAACTTAGATCTTTCTCACTCCATATCTGGTGCTCTATTTACTGTGCCCCCTATATAACTTGTATTCATACATATATACAAAATAGATACATTTGGGAAAGGAAGACACTAGTTATTGGGAGAAAGGCTGTCACAAAGTAATATGTGGTTAAGCATCAAATGAGTGCTACATAAAAGTCCTAATGGAGAATAAGAAGGGATTTCTGTAGGTTGAAATTGTCAGGAAAGGCTTTCTGGGGGAGGTGAGAATTGAGATGGACTTGGAAGGTTGTAAGAGGTAGCAGGCAAAGGGAGGGAATTCTGGGGAGACAGGAAATAGCATAAAGCAAAATAGGAATCATTATTATATGAGGGAGGCCAGTGTACAGTGAGCAGACCAGTGTGTGTGGGGTTGAGGGAACATACCTGTTCAGTGGAAAGCAGATAAGATACCTCATCTATGTATCCCTCATATAGCCTAACACCAGGCCTTAATATAGTGGATGCTTATCAAATGTTCAGTCATTTGATTAGAATGATGTCTATTTGTCCATCTATTTCTGTCTTAGGAAACACTTTTACCTAAAACATCTAAGTAATCTAAGGGAAAAATGTTCTTTGGACTGATTTTTCTGGATAATTATCACAATTATACATTTCAATTTGTCTAATTAATCGAGATAGATTTTGTCTAATACAAATGAAACAATACTAAACCTAAAATTAGGACCGCATATGGGCTGCTCATCTCCTTTAATGAAAATTTGAAATTCTATGTGTTTAAGAGACATAGAAGATCTAGAATTGTAAATTATGTAGAACTCTAAGATCATAGATTTAGAGAGAGAAGATCTCTCCAAGCTCATCTAGTCTCATCCCTTCATATTAATGAGAATATAGTTATGGAAAGAAAAGGATGCCTGAGGGCCATAGAGAATTGGTAATACTTTTAGCCTTTAAAAGATACCTTTCAACATTACAGTCTTAGTTTAGAATAAGAATGGTAAAATCAGCCCTGGGTGCCACATTTTTGGAAGGACAGTGATATGTCCAGGGGACAACAATCAAGATAATGAAGGATATTGATTCCATGCCATGTAAGAATCAGCTGAAGGAACAAGGGATGTTTAATGTAAAGAAGGAAAGACAGTTAGCATAAGACTGAGCTATCTGTCTTCAATTATTTGAACTTTTTTATGCAAAATGTGGATTAGAGGTATTCTGCTTTGTTTTAGGCACAATAACTAGAAGATGTATAGTAGCAATTTCAGAATTTATTTAAAGAAAAAGTTGCTAAGAATTAGAGCTATACTAAAATGGAATAGGCTGCCTGAAGAGGTAGTGGATTTTCCTTCACTGAAGGTCCTTGAGCAGAAGACTGAAGGACCACTTCTCAGGTAAATTGTAAAGACAATTATTGTTTAGGTATGAGTTGTTCTAAATGGCCTCTGAGCTTCTTACGGACTCCGAAATTTGATAATTTTATGATTTTTGATTCTATCAAATTTATGTATTTTCTAGCAGTTCCTTTTGTTTGAAATGGGTTTTTTCAGATTACAGACAAAGACATAAGATAAATGTTGGTGGGTTCCTTTAGGAATTTATTACTGATTTTCTTTATCATTGTGTGTGTAGTCTTAACACTATAAATCTTTTCTTTTTTTTGTTGGGGGTTAAGAGAACATCTTATTGGAAGAGAGGTCAAGCAGTAATGAAAGAGTGAAGATTGAGGAGATGTGTTCTGAAATGTATTCAATGAGTACGTTCAGCAAAACCATAGAACTACTTCTTGGTGTATTGCATAATTTAGCAAGTATCGTTAATTGTTTAACAAGATATCATTGTAAATGTCATCAATCATCTTCCATGCTTTCTAAATTGAAAGATTCATTAGTCATTCATTATGGAAATGACTGCTCTTCTCAGCTAAGCAGCATCATCCATGAGAGTTTTTTGTTTTATTTTGTTTTGTTTTTTAGTGATGCAGACTACAAACTTCATTTGAGTTAATATGCAGTACAGCCACTGTTAAGGTCCCTAATAAATTTTAGTTAAATACTTGCTAGTGATCCTTTTTTTTGTTCCTTTGCTTGTCTGAAAATTGTGCAGCTGTTCAAGTGTTAACTCCAGTATTTCTTGATTCATCTTGGATTTAACTCTTCTGTCTGCCAAAAATTACTTAACGGTTTGACAGTCATCAAAGGGTTACTTCTGAAAAGGTAGTATGTTCACCTACTGATATAAGGGATTTTTGCCTCTGTGGTTTGTGATCTTTGGTAACTATTGATTGAAGAGACGTTCTCTTTGACTGGAAACTGGATGAGTGTGCTTCAGGGATATGAAATGTAGCTATAGCATCCTGCAACAATGGGCTAGAATGGAAATGTCCAGAATAACCAATTTGGAAATATTTCTCCAGGTGAGACTTCCAGATTCCTTTAATCTCAAAAGGCTAAGGAAGCTGGCCACCATTAATACTCTACATGAATCATTCAGTCAAAATCCAATAAATACTGTATGTTTGGACCTGTGCTAGGTGCCATGGAGTCAAGTCAAGTCAATATGCATTCATTAAGTGCTTACTATGTAGTAGGTACTGTATTAAGTACTAGGTATGCAAAGAAGAGGGGGAGGGAGTCCTTGAACTCAAGAGTCTCTCAGTCTAATGGGGGAGATAATATGCAAATTATTATGTACAAACAATAAATATGGGATAAATTCTAAGTAATTTCAGAGAAAAAGACTAAAGAAGACTGAGAAAGGTTTCTTACAAAGGGTGGGAATTTAACTGAAGCCAAAAGATAGAAATAAGGAGGGAGAGAGTTCCAGGCTTGAGGATAGCCAGTGAAAGTGCCTGGAATAAGCAGGGGACATGGAGTGTTTTATGTGAGGAATAATAAAGAAGCCATTGTCACTGGATTACAGACTATGCAGGGGTGGGAGTGAGGAGCAAGGTGTAAGAAGACAGAAAAGGTAAAAGTAGGGGAGCAAGTTATGAATGACTTTAAATACCAATCCAAAGATTTTATATTTGATTCTGGAGTTGATAGTAAGCCAGTGGGATTTAGGGAGATCAATCTGATAGCTGAGTTGAGGATGGATTAGAGTAGGGACTGAATTGAGGCAAGGAAATCAACCAGCAGGCTATTATAACAGTACAAGCATGAGGTAAGGATAGTTTATACCAGGTGGTAGAAATGCCAGAGGAGAGAAAGAGGTGTATATGAGTGACGTTACAAAGGTAAAGATGACAGGATTTGGAAAGTGATTGGATATGGGTGGAATGAGATAGTGAGAAGTCAAGGATGATACCCAAGTTGTGAGCCTAGTTGACTAGTAGAATGGTGGTATCCTTGACAATAATAGGGAAGTCTGGAAGAGAGGAGGATTTGGAGAGAAAGATAACAATTTCAGTTTTGGATATAATTGAATTTAAAATGTCTTTTAGAGCTCCATTTTGAGATGTCCAATAAGCATTCGGAGATGTGACTGGAGATTAGCATAGATGTGGTAAAATTCAAGAACATTACACTGAGTTAGGAGTCCAATTCCTATTTCTGCTATTTATTTGCTATGTCACCTTAGGTAAATAACTTTGCTTTCCAAACCTCAATTTCTGATTACATGATCTCCAAGGTCTTTACCAGCTCTGTATGCTATGATTCTATCATATGTGAGACACTATGAGGTCCAATAAAAATGCAAGGGAACCTCAAAGAGCTTACAATGTAGCTAGAGGGGAAAAAAAAAAACCTAACACATAGAACAATTGGAGAACAAGTGTCAAAAAATGTCACAATCTCTAATTAGATTGCAAACTCCTTGAGTGTGGGGCAGTTTTTTTTCCTTTCTTCCCCATCTCCCATGCCTATCACAAAGCCTCATACGCAGGAATTGTTAAGAAGTATTAATTGATGGATTAGTAAGAACAGTGGCTCGGAGGAGAACAAAGTTTGGTGAATGTGAGCTGGAAAAGCCAGAGATGTTTCAGACAGAGATGTCTGTGACTAAGCCAAAATGTTGTGGGAAAGTAAGGAATTACTTAATTTCAATTAATCTAAAACACCTGCTATTGAAGACACAATGGACTATTAAAATTTCTCTCTACACTGCGTTTTGCTGCACAAATTATTCATATCATTTCTTCATCTTACTGAGTTCATTCTTTGGGCAGACAATTATTAAGTGCCTACTTAGTGTCACAATCTCAGTGAGTAATTGAGGATACAAGACAAAATCCTTCCAGTCTTTGACCTTCCAAGTCCTTAACTCCTGAGGGTTTCTTTTTCATTAATATACATTGTTTTTCTATGGACACATTCAACAGTCATTCTTCCCTAAAGCTCAGTGTCTAGACAAGAGTGATGAAAAAGTTTCTTAGTAATTGGAATAGTGTCTGGG